TTTGCAGAAATGCCCCTAGTACCGTACGTGTCACCGGTACTTATACCGGCTCCCCGTACGGTAAGGGGACGAGTCCTTGGTACCAGTTTTCAGCTGCTGTAYTCGTACTCAGTGTGACTTGCTCATGTTTCGWCATTCGGGAATYGAAGACTTCGACTTTGTGTCCTTGCCACTGTGTCTGCGTCCGACCCTCGGTCGTGTCGTGTCGAGTGAGTGAGTGTGTGTGTGTGCTCTCACTCTCTCCCTCTCTCTCTCTCCTCTCCCTCGGCTCTCCCTGTCTCCCTCGACCTCGTACTCGTTACACCACCCCCACAAGTTGGTCCAAGTTGCCCTCGATACTGGTAGGGTGATGGTCCTGAAGGCTGGTCGCACTGAGGTAGGATAGTAGGGATAGGGGGTCCGCTGGGAGTATTAACGTGGGGAAGGGTAGGGAAGGTGGCCTATCCTGTCAGGAAAACCACCGGCTGCTGCTGCGAGCGATCACCATGGGTCTAGTCCTTGGCCTCTACAACACCCTAGACTTAAAATGATAATAATAATAATAATAATAATAATAAATGATGTGCTACGGCCAACGGGGGGGGGACCGGCTCGGTCGACCGGCCGGTAAGACCAGTCCGGTTCCAGCAGGGGGACGGGCCCCCAGTCCTACCGGGCTTGCAGCACTGGTTTATGGATCATTTCCGGTGGTATCTGTTGTGGTTTCTATGAGTGGCTCCGACAAACTTTGTCAGGTGAACTTGGGTTGGCTGACCTATTTCTGTCTTTTGTTGTTCTTTTGGGGGGTGCGGGGGGGGGTCCGGGGGGTATCAGCGAATGCTGTTACGAGGGAATTCAATGCCATCAACACATGTGAAGGCAAGCAGCAGACCTTCTACTGTGATGGAGGACAGTAATGGAAGCAGCAATAGTCAAGAGTCAAGTGGAGAGGACCGGGAGTCCTCGGTCTCGGACTCAGGGTTTTCGGCGGAGGAAATTGTAGGTGTTGCTAAAAGGATGGCAGATTGCAGCCCCGGGGAGCCGGTGGCATCGTCTTCGCCTCCTCTTCAGAACCTGCCCTCGCTTCCCAATCGCCGGCGAACTCGGGATGTGGTGGGGGCTATGTCCCTGCAGCTTCCGCGTGTGCAGGAGGTGAGCTTTGAGGATTGGAATGATGAGAATGCAGCGGTGGAGGGGACTGCGATGGGAGTAGGAGGGGTCGTTGGTCATGACGTTGGCGCAGGTCTGTCGATGGGGCTTGTTGCCCCCTCGGCAACACCTGCATCCACTGCCAAGCGAAGCAGGAGCCCTGGTGCTTTTCTAAAAGACCCACTTAGGGAATCAAATGATGACTTTCGGGGTCCAGTTCTTGATGAATCGCCTCGGGGATTGGAAGGAAGGAAATCGCCACCTCCACGTGAAATGAGGCCGGCGCCCTTGACGAGGGATGCAGTGCCGGCAGAGGTTGGAAAGCTTTATTCAAAAGGTTTTGTCACCCCACCGAGATCTGCTAGGAGACCTGTGAGCGCGAGGGCCAGCATCGAGGTTGGTTCAGGAGGCTTCGAAAGGTCTGCATCGGCAGCTGCAGCACCAGCGCTGTCAGTTAGATCTTCTTTGCAGGCACATGATATTGCAAGGGCAAGAAATGCTGGCAGCAGGCTTCCACGGCCCCAGTCTGCAACTCCTGACTCTGCGTAAGTGACTCTCTCTCTCTCTCTCTCTCTCTCTCTCTCTCTCTCTCTCTCTCTCTCTCTCTCTCTCTCTCTCTC